GTTACAATTTTTATCAGTACTTAATCTTTGATGTAGACACAATATATTTGGTGACACCCTGTATATATCATGACACCCTGTATAAATCATGACACCCTGTATTTTGGCAGTATATATATATTGTGTAACACCATTATATATTATATATATATATGATGTCACACCATGGTATATTGTGTAGTAACATACTATATAAGGTGTTACACTTACACGGCATATATTATGTGTAACTTCATATGCATTTTATGTAATATATTGTGTATCACACTATGTATGTAGAATGTAACACCATATTTAAATATTTTGTGACACTGTATATATCGTGTGTAACACCATATACTATGTATTTTGTGTAACAATGTATTATACTGTGTAACACTTACATATATAATGTGGAGCATCATATTTATATACTGTGTAACATTCTATGGATATGTGTAACACCATATGGAGTGGCCTGTATATGTTGTGTAACACCATTTATATTGAGTGTAACATCATGTATATAGTGTGTAACACCACTGTGTTGTATATGGGCTAGTGGGTAGACACACACATTTACTGTACAATTTTATTAATAAATATCATAGAAATATTTGTCTTGTGTCACATTTTGTCCCACCCCCTCCCGGGACCCCCTCTTACCCCTCAGTATTCAGTCGGAGGTAGTAAAAGGGGGAGCTGGGAGTAAAAGGGGAGAGATGGGAGTAAAAGGGAGATGAGAATATGTATCAGGCAGTTACTGAGTTAAGGGGGACATGAATTGTGACACATGACTAAGAAAGAATTTTGAGATGTAGATCAGGAATGTATATGGGGTGGGTTCTCTTTGTAGATACCAACTGAGCTACTATATAGTGAACTTATAGCCTAGTATGGAGTTGTTAACTACTTGAATGCAAGGTTGATAGATATCTTGATAGAGGAATAAGCTGAGAAAACCCTTGAAGTCACCACTGCTTTGAATTGGTTTTGAAGTTATGTTTATTATTTTTAATATAAATGTTTTGTTAAAATAAAATGAATGCAGTACTCTCATAGATCTGAATAAGTCACATAATCAAAAGCCTAAAAATTTGACAGCATAATCTTCTTACGTCATCTCAAGACATTGTAATGTCACCATGGCAAGAGATGACATTGTTATAGTCTCCAACTGTTTTGTGGATGGTGTTCAGTGGTTGGTGTATGGCACTCAATGATTGGTATTTGGTGTTTGGCAGTTGTAGCAAATGGCAGATGGTGACATTTTGCATGTTAATGCCTTGTCTATTACATTATTATGCTTTTATTAATTTATTATTCTGTAAAAAAAAGTAAAATCATTTTATTTTATTTTATTTACAAAGTTGTGATACTTTGAGGTGTGATGAGCAAAGAGGAGTGCAGGCTGGTACTGTAGAAGAAGTAATTTTGCAGAGATGAAAATTGACCGGTTTAATTCAAGAATACATTTCAAGTAAATCATTCAATTAAGCATTTCATTTAACACTGGAAAACTAAATTTGTAGAGATGTTATTCATATTATTTTCAAGATATGATCCCATGTGTGTTTTCGTATTATGAAACTGTTTGTGGGTGTCTCAAATTTTGTGGGTGTCTCAAAATCATTTTTTAATGTATTTGTTAACTGTAGCCATTTTGCTGAAATATTTTTGTTTTCATCATCTCACACTGGATTGGTCTGGATGATCAACCTATTGCCTCTTTACGAGTCCATGATTAATAAAGAACTTCTGAAATAGGTTGACCATTCAGATGAGCCCTGCTTCTATTTGTATTGTTTAAATGAGCTCCTGGTTCTATTTGTATTGTTTAAATGAGTCCCCGGTTCTATTTGTATTGTTCAAATGAAAATGAGCCCCTGGTTCTATTTGTATTGTTCAAATGAGCCCCTGGTTCTATTTGTATTGTTCGATTTTTATTGTTCAAATGAGCCCCTGGTTCTATTTGTATTGTTCAAATGAGCCCCTGGTTCTATTTGTGTTGTTTAAATGAACCCCTGGTTCTATTTGTATTGTTCAAATGAGCCCCTGGTTCTATTTGTATTGTTCAAATGAGCCCCCAGTCATATTTGTACGTTAAATATTTTGTTTTTATAGTTTAATTAATTTCATTATTACAAACTGATCACTGATGGTTAAGATTAAGTCTAGCTAAGTTTTTTGAAGCTTGAAAGAGAAATGTTGGTTGGTTTTTTAATTGCAAGATAAAGTGGAAGAGTGAAGCCAGCAAGGAAAAGAGTAAATGGCCATGTAGTCCACGCATTAAGTTGTACATAAATGCAAGAAAATAAAATGTTTCATTCAAATTTTACAGAGAAATTGAGTAGAAATTATGGAATAAGCATGATCAGATTCACCATTTTCACAGAGGTTTTCATGGAAAGAATAATTCTTGCTCAACTCCGATCATTGCCATCTTCACTTGCACTGCGTATTACTGCGAAGTTGCTTCATTGTTATAATTGTAATTCATCTTTCATATTTAAACTTATGATTCACTGAAAAAGTTGATTTCACGGCACGTCATGATATTTTGATTACTGTCTCTCCAAAATTGAGCCTATTTATATGGTCTTCGAACATCTTACGACTGAAAGTAAAACTTTAGATTTCAAATGTGGATTTTCCAAATAAGATGAGACAAAAAGGAGGGCTTTAGGGATACAGTAAATCCTGTCTTAGTGATCACCTCTCTAGTGAACACCTGTCTCTAGTAGACACCCTTCCTTTGCACATACTCTACTGACTTCTGTATAAATTAGCCTACCAACTTACTCTCGGCAAAAATGTTCAATATACACAGGTTTTACTGTATATGAAAAAATAATTTGTGCGTGCCATGAAATCAATTCAAAGATGTCGTAATAGAAAACATCCGTCACTGGAACAAAGAAGCTTTAATGTCTGTTTTAGATACAATTAAATATATAGTAGCATATACAGTATATAATTATAATATTATTAATTAATTAATAATACATTGTATTCATTATAATGTCAAGTTTTATAGAACTATGCATAGCTGTTATGTAAAGTTTTATGGTATATAAAGCTTAAAGATGTTTTGCAAGTCAAGGTAACTCTGTTATTTTTCTCTAGAATTGTGTGAAGTGTCTTTTAGTGCAGTTACTGAAATCATTTAAACCTACTATGATTCTAGTCTAATCTTACTTGATCTAACCTAATCCTACTCAGTCTAGCCTAAATCTACTCAATCTTGCCTAATCCTACTCTATCTAGCCTAATCCTACTCTATCTAGCCTAAACTTACTCAATCTAGCCCAATCCTAATCAATCTACCCTAGACCTACTCAATCTATTGACTCACTCAAGCCTAAACCTACTCAATCTACCCTAATCCTACTCAATGTAGCCTAAACTTACTCAATCTAGCCCAATCCTACTCAATCTATCCTAGACCTACTCAATCTAACCCAAACCTACTGAATCTGAGCCTAAACTTACTCAGTCTTGCCAAAGGCTAGTGAATTTAGCCTAATCCTACTCAATGTAGCCTAATGTTCAGCCCTGTGAAATCATAGCAGGTAAATCATTTTATGTTATTATCAGGCTTATTGTAGTTAATTGTTGATTTTCACTAGTATGGGTTGTTTTGGGTATTACAATTGAAAAGTTCACCTCAAAGATTCTGTATTCTGTCAAAAATTAATCACTGTTATGTCAATTTGAACTTTGGAATACATTGCATAAATAAATGAGATGAAAACAAACAGAGCATCAGGGAAATTGATACATCAAATACTGTTCATTAATAAGTCTCGCATCAAGTCCCTAGATCCCTTACCCCTAAGCACCCCCGATTAGGTGTATAGGAGATTGGGGTCACAATAAAGGGTCTGGAGCAAGACTATTAAGAAATTCTTATCTTGATTTTTTGAAAGATTAAAAAATGGGATAACATTATTAAATCATGATACAGAACTGAGAATGTACAAGGGGTGATCTATAAGTGATGGGCGCTTTTTACACAGGTGCTTCTTATTTTCCAATCTAAGTGATTTGAATACCAGCGATGCATCATAATGTCACCGCCAGAAGTGGCAGGTGGTGGCACTTTTCATGTTTAAGCCTTGTCCACTTATCTATTACTATTAGTCCTGAAAATCTGAAGACAAAATATACAAGATATCACATTCAGCTGTGATATGATCCTTAAAATGGTCTGTGTAAAGAAGTGTCTGTTATTTTTTGATCACCCCTTGTATACAGGTCATCTAAAACCTGATTCAGTTATCATGATTGGCATTCTTTAATGTTCTTCATTCTTGTAAAAATTGTTAGAATATGTTCTAGAGGAAAAATTCGAAGCAGGTCTTATCAGTGATTTTGCTTTAAATTGTATCACATTTTAAGGCCAAAGTAAATAAATAAACTCAAGTGTTTAACATAGAATTCCTTTGTGAGCAAAAAGGGAATGTTAAACATTTATTTATTTACATTGGCCCTTATTATATAACAAATTGAGAGGAAGGAGACACAAATGAATGTAGCGTATATGTTTTTTGACTTTTTGTAGAATAGTTACAAAACACAGGTGAATAATGGAGTAGGTAGCTATTTCCTATTGTTAAAATTTTGCAATATTTTAATGTGTGATTGTCTCATTACTGGTTTAAAGTTGCCTATATTGCAATATTGGCATGTAAATGTTGTTCATTGGAGTGTATGTACATACTGTATAGATAACTTTAACACTAAATATAAATTCAACAGTTTAGAAAATCAATGTTTTGTGTTCTTTTCTCTGTTCAGATTGTTTCAGAAAATTGGTTGGGAGAATTTGATTTTAGGGACTGATATTCGTGACAGTGCACTCGACTTGGTTGGATTCCTCAAGTAAAAGGGTATCTGTAAAATTTCAGAGAAATTTATGCAATTTGTTTTGTATGGGAAGAATTTCAATAAACATAGTTGCACCCATTTTGTACTAAGATTAATTTCCAGCACAAAATAAAGAAAACAGAACAGCAGAGTTAATTTTTTTTGAAAAGGTTCACCATTTATTGTAGTATCAGCCATGATGGATAAATTCAGAGCTAGTGGGGCCCTCTGGTGAAGGCCTTAAGAACTAACCTCATTTCACACATAAAATCAAAGCATTTCATGATCCTAAGAGGTAAATAAAAGTCACCACTAAAATTCTGATCGACCCCGCCCGAAGAATGAAAACTCAAATCCAGCTCAATATGTTGAACAGTGAACACAGCAAGTGATAAAGTCAAAAATAGGTGAAATCCTTTTCAAAGTTAACGATCAGAATTTTACCTGGTTCAGTCAGATCTTAGTAAAGATTGCAAAGTGAAATCGTCACCCAGTCGCCTGACTTAAGTGGCCTTATAAGGAGGAGCTTTGGATCAAAATAGCATTATATAGAAAACAACAAACAAACAAACAAACAACATTTGTCTCAAAGCTCCTCCCGATCCCTCATGCGCCATCTATAATGTCTGATTAGAGACTGACTGAGTCGATGTGTTGACGATGACGTGGCATAAACCCTTCTATAGTGCATGTCAGTGAGTAAAATGTATCAAAAAATCATGATATAGAACCAATGGAGAATGGGTGTATATGTACTAGTATATACAATTGAGGATGGATTTGTTATTGTTATAGGCTACTTAATCCATCCTGCAAATGGATTTGGTATTGTTGTGGGCTACTTAAATCCATTTGTCTGCAACAACCAGCTAAACACATCATATTTAACAGTCCAGCAACTCTCTATCTACATTGCAATATTTGGTTGTTCACCACTCCATGAGCTCTAAGCCAATCAAATTGCAGATAAACATTCACTCCTGTCATGTACATTGATGATATTTAGATGATATTATACAATCAACAAGGATATGATTTTATACATATGCAGTAATATAGATTCCTGTGCACAATAAGTTAGGTAAGAATGAACACATGTGTACAAACAACAAGACTCGTGTGTACAATCAACAAGTCTTGTGTGTACAATCAACAAGGACCTAATACGCATGTAACAAGAGGTGGCAAACCCTACGAATATACACACATTATCATTATGCGAACAATCTCACATCCATGCATTTCCTAATATACACAATTTAAAAATATTTTGTACAAGAGCTCATTCTGTTTTTTGATTATTAATAATATTAATTTATTTATAATAACATTCAAGACACGTTGACCTGTCAAAATACATGTTAATTATACAGTTTACACATCAAACAATATTCCTCGGCCGAACGCCAAGAACTCTATCGTATTGTAAACACAACAATAAAAATACAATAGAATTCCACACAGAAACTCTGTTCTTAATTCCCCAAAGAAATATTTTCATGAGGGGCTTTCAACTAATATAATATTAGGTAATAAGTTGAACGTGGGGTTTAAAATTCAAATTGAGGCTAGAAGAGCCAAACAAAAATCAGTTCCCTGATTGGTTGACTACTCTAATGATATCACTTTAAGAAGCACTTAAATTATTCAACTATTCACATTGCTACTAAAATTGGATAAGACTAAATAGACAGAAATGAGTAAAACATAATATACGTCGATAACCGACAGTCAGTTCATGGTTTAAAAAAACTGTTCTCTGCCACAGCATATTCCTGATTTGTTAGTTGGTGCATGAATTGTGATGTCATGTGACACCATATGATGATGTCATCTGACATCTTGTGATGTCATATTGATGTCTTGACAACACTGTCTATGCTATCTATGGTGACTGTTATCTTGCATAAATGTTTGCATCAGGTGACAATTTCCTAATATGGTGCCGCGCCATGTTGTTTACTGGAACTTCTTGGCGGCCATTGGATCTACTGCTTCTGCCACTGGAAGGCAAAACAAAATATGTTAAAATATATCTAGTGATACAGATAGTTTTTCATGTTATTTATGCAATTATGTTAAGTAAAATAATTATATGAGTACTTTTCATCTAAATATTTTTACAGTTTATCATGCTTCAGTATTGGCATAACAAGTCATGCTTGTCAAAAGTACATCACAATATGTACATCATGTGTGCTGACAATACATAATAATGTGTGCTTACAACAATTCATGTGTGCTTGCAAAACACATGTGCTATAATCACATTATGTCACATGTGCTATATGACATCGCATGATATATCATAAGTAGTGTAAAATACCATACATGACATACACTCTTGCATAAATACCCTGCATGACACACACACTATAGCTCACATGATCAGAAGTCGGAACAGAACACAGTGATCGCCCTAGGATCTTTTGTCAAGTGAGTGCAAAGTTCTCATTTTTACAATTCACACTGAAATTGATCAAAATATGCCCATTTTCATGATTTTTCTCATATTCAAGTGGGTGCAAATTAATTTTCAGATGGGTGCAGGCCTGTTTTTAAAAGTTCAGGTGGGTGCTGCACCCACTTGCTTCAATGCTGGAAGATCACTGAAACATGAGCTTATGTCTTCTCTAAGAAGATGAGCTTTAACGCATACCGTCATACATCACAAAACAATACAATCCATATCTTCACATTACAATTACAGTTGACTGACTTTATCCTAGCCTTGCCCAAGTCGGTGTTTTTTACTTATCTGATCTTGAATTATTAATAGAATCAAGATAAGCAAAAGAGACCGACTTGGGGGGCAAGGCTAACTTTATTCAGGCAATAAGGAAATAGCACACCAATTAAGCGGAAGAAATATGTAACCTTGTTGACAATATGTACCACATATCATATAGAATCATATAACAGTATAACAAAACTACATGTAAAGATAGAAACACAGAAACAAACAATAACAAACAGAGAATGACCTTCAGTTAGAATATTAGTTTTAAACTACAGATTTTAATTAAGATGATATTTTAACAATATTAGAGTGTGTAATTAATTCACCCCTCCCATTCTATATATCCCATACAGTAGGAAGGGGGGGGGGGGGTGTAGAGTATTTTCTCTATATTAAATATTCCTGGTTATTGGAAACAGTCAGATTCAATGTCCATGTTACATTCATAATAACAATAATAAGGGAAAAATTTGCTTTAACTAAAACTTCTCAACGTGCGATTTAACATACCATAATCACCATATTAGACATCTTCCCCTTATAACTGCCCACCCAGTAAAAATTAACACTTTCTTATACAGCAAAGTTCTTGTATTAGAAGGGGGGGGGGTATAGAATAAGTAGAATGGGAGGGTTGTTAAGGTTGCTATGCCAACTATGCCAACTATACCTTGCAATCCTAAGTGTGCTATCCATTGAAAAACCTTTTAAGGTAAAATGTGTATTGATGGTACAAGTACGTGGTCATATCGGTAAGTTATGTGTAAAAAGTCAGTTGTCTTTAACTGTAAAACACATTGAATTTCCAGGAGCAATTTTTGCAGATTTTCTTTTCACATACTGCCATTTTTGCAAATGGATAAATTTGTGCCTGGAATACAATTTAAAATCTAAAAATTCAAGATGTCCACCAAATTAATGTGTTTTACAGTATCATTGTCATATGGATCTATTATACAATTGATATTGCATGGTTTGGTCAAACGTCAATCTTGGTCAAATGGGTCATTTGTTGTTGAGTGCATAAAGGGTTAAACTTAATTAAAATTCATGCATTATGTTAGTTTTAATTGTTATATATGAAAGGTTTACTAAGCTGCATAAACAGAATTTATCCCTAAAGAACTGTCAGAATTTCCCTAATTATACCTAACCTCTTATACATACATGTGAGATATATCTGAATCATCTTGGCCTTATTTAGAAGCATAAGATTATCGAGTAACGTTTATTCTTCTCAGAAAGCTTTTGAAATCTGCCCATTTTCTGATTAATAAACATGTCAGGGGTGTAGCCAGGATCACAAATAGATGACGCGAAATTGTAATAGGGTGAGGCAAAATTGTAATAGGGCGAGGCAAAATTGTATAAAACGAGAGGCAAATTATAAAAGGGCGAGGCAAAATTGTAATAGGGCAAGGCAAAAATTGTAAAAGGGCGAGGCAAAATTGTAAAAGGGTGAGGCAAAATTGTAATAGGGCGTGGCAAAATGATAATAGGGCGAGGCAAAATTGTAAAAGGAGAGGTAATGCTTGTAGCTCATAACTAGCTGTGCTCATGCATGTAAGTTATATTAGCATTTAAGCATTGGATATTTCACTGTAGTTGAATCAAGGAGGAAAGGCATCTGGATTAACATAAGGTACCCCCTAAAACTTTACAGACCCCAGCTTGTTATGGGAATATAAGGGGCGATTCATACAAATACAATATACAAATATAATGCATTGTGGGATTACTGTGTGTAGTGGTTTGACGTGCTTGCTAACCCAATGCAATTTCTACTTCTTGTTAAATTGGGCTCGTAATGTATTACTCCCTCCACCATGCCCCTGTAAGTTATTTAGTACAATGTTAATTTAAATGTTAATGCATAAAATTTTTATGTGATTCTACAAAATAACGAAACAAGAAGGAAAGCTCTGAGGTAGTCTTTTCCAAGTATTTCCTGACATAGTTACTATAGAGAGACATATTTTTAAAGCCCGAAATAAAACCAAATTTCAAAGCTCCATCATGATTTTCAATTGACAAATTGAAGAGTTTACAGAAAGTAGAAACTGCATATCGGATCAATCGATTATAAGACAAGTGCATCAACTGAAGGTCATGGAATTGAGAAAGTAAAGACTCGCACATAAGACAGTACAGTGAAACATTAAACAAACACTAAATACGCACAGAAAGACAAAAGCAAATCAATCCCATCATTTTTCGGATTATGAAATATTTCAGAGCAAGATGGGAGAGAAATGCCTCCTTTGTTTACAGATACAAATATGTAGTTTGCAAAAGAGAAAAAATAAACAAATCTGAAAAGGTCCAACTATCACCTCAGTTTTACATCCGTTCTTCGTGAAATGCTTTGTAAAATGCAAAAATAAACACTGTGAAGCTAACCAATGAGGAACAATACAAAAATAATTTTTTTCATCAAATCTCATTGCCTCTCTACTTCTAAAACAGGTGAAACAAAGTTTAAATCAAATCCATGCACATATTGATTAGACCTATAACATAGTACAAATCAAAAACTAGTCTGAAGAAAGCCCAAAGAAAAATCATTAATGAACTTAAAAAGTTAATTGAAAAGTCAGAGAAAGATGGTTCCACTGGAGATAACCTCTCAATTCAATATCACGGGCTAGTGAAATTATTTTCTCAATTAAACTGAACTAACAAAATTTAATTAACTCAAAAATGACAGAAGAGGGTGTTTTAGGAAGCCATTTAAAAAAGCAAGCAGGAGTATCCTCAAGTTCAAATATTTCTCTCTAGTATTATGGACAAAAGCATCTTAAACTACAGTGAAAGAAGCCCCCTTCCCATTCTTAATACTACTAAATATTACTAAATAAGACATTATTGCAAAGGCCTTACTAGCGAGTGATTTAAATTTGAAATTGTGCTCAAGACTTTTCTATCATTACAAGGTGTTGACCATTACTTACTTACTTACATTACAACGCAAGCTTTTCAAATATTATCAATCGTTAATTGAGGAAAGCATTGAAAAGCACGATGCCCAATTATGTTGCCTTCGATTAATCGCATAACGAATGATGTTCTTTTTTATTGACCTCCATTTAATCATGGTGACTTCCTAAGGTACAATAGGAATTAAAAAGGCATTAACATGCAAAATGTCACCACATACCATTTGTTACAGACGAAGACTGTCGAATGCCAAACACTGTCCACAAATAAGTTGGAGACTATAACAATGTCACCTCCATATGTCACCACTTTTCTTCTAGTGGTGACATAATAATACTGGTTCACTGTTGTTAGCTGATTTACAATTCCAAACCCCAATAGCATGCACAAAGCTCTCAGTTTTAACTATACACAAAATAAATAAATACAATTCACGTTTTATATCCTATCTATTCATTAATATAAAACACTTTATTTTACATCTAAAAACAATTTAGAATTATGACAATATACTATAGTAATAAGAAGTGTAAATATGGTTATTGTAAATTGGTTTGAAATATAATTTAATTTTAGAACGTCAATTTGTATATTAATGCAGTGTTGAATAAATGAATGAATAAACAACAACATTCTACAGTACTGTATAACTTTACAAGTAAATATTGTCAAAATCGTCCCCAAAATTAATAGGTAAATTATTTCACAGACAACAATAACAAGGGTTTCCATAGCAAAAGGCAACTGATGATTTTCCCTTTTTCATCAAAATGAGATAAACTACCAATAATTTTACATGTTATTTCCATTTTCATTTTTACTTATTTATTTCATTCACTTTGCCCATTGTTTTCCTTCCTTTTGCTTGTTGACCTAAAATCTTATTAAACCCCTATATTACAACACTGTTTTATGACTCATACATATTTTTGATGATAATGTTTAATAATATCATATGCAATGTGCATGTAACACGTTCTCTTAGAGACGGACTGAGTTCATTTCGTTACAATCCTTATTTGGTATCATCCTTGGCGAAAATGTCCTATTCGACACGGAATTGACTTTTATCAAATGTATGTTAGCCATTCTACACAAAATTTTTAATCTGGGTGCAATTATCACTACTGTATTAGTACTTTGCCAGATCGTAGCTTTCTATAGCTAGACAGTAGCTGTCTATAGCTAGACAGCAGCTATCTTGAGCTAGATAGTAGCTGTCTAGAGCTAGATAGTAGCTGTCTATAGCTAGACAGTAGCTATCTTGAGCTAGATAGTAGCTGTCTATAGCTAGACAGTAGCTATCTTGAGCTAGACAGTAGCTATCTAGAGCTGAACAGTAGTTATCTATAGCTAGACAGTAGCTGTCTATAGCTAGACAGTAGCTATCTATAGGTAGACAGTAGCTATCTATAGCTAGACAATAGCTGTCTATAGCTAGACAGTAGCTATCTTGAGCTAGAGAGTAGCTATCTAGAGCTAGACAGTAGCTGTCTATAGCTAGACAGTAGCTGTCTATAGCTAGACAGTAGCTATCTAGAGCTGGACAGTAGCTATCTAGAGCTGGACAGTAGCTATCTATAGCTAGACAGTAGCTGTCTAGAGCTGAACAGTAGCTATCTATAGCTAGACAGTAGCTGTCTATAGCTAGACAGTAGCTATCTTGAGCTAGATAGTAGCTATCTAGAGCTAGAGAGTAGCTATCTAGAGCTGAACAGTAGCTATCTATAGCTAGACAGTAGCTGTCTATAGCTAGAAAGTAGCTGTCTATAGCTTGAAAGTAGCTATCTTGAGCTAGATAGTAGCTGTCTAGAGAGTAGTTATCTAGAACGAGACAGTGACTATCTTGAGATTAGACCTGTTCAAAGTATAGCTAGATACAACTACATGTATTCTAGATAGCTAGGTACGTATGGTTAGTTCATGATATAGACAATGATAGATGTCCCTCTTTGTATGATATCAAAGGTTTAAAATGAATAGATGACAGGTCCCTAAATGGATCAAAAGAATTGACAGGTCCCAAAATAGTAACCAAGAGTCAAGGGGATCTGTACCCTGTTACGTTCATCTACAGTAAATATTACAATGAACAAGTCTGATACACCAGTGGAACTAAATGTATCAAGAAAATATATATTTTTCGAAATAACTTAATCAGTCTGTGAATAATTTTGGAAAAAATACTAATATTCAATGGAAGTTATTCAAGAAATTAACTGTTTATGGAATGTATACTGAATTTACTAAAAAAATATTGAATTTCATGGAAATAAAAAAATTGTTCTTGATTTTTTAAATCAAACTTCTCATTATGACATTTACTGTAGCAGATACGGTAACTGAGAAAACTACCATTTTGGTCATGCCGGTATGACACCTTTTCTCACTAAAATTTGAATAAACTACCAGATTTTCTTGCATTTCTATATAATTTAGAGTGTTAACTACAATGTAGTTTACTTTATTTCTTGCTAATTCCACTATTTTTCACTAAATTATGCATTTGAAAACATGACCAAAATGACAATTTTCTAATTTTAATGGAAAGTTAATGTGACAGATCTATGTTCACTCAACAGTTGTATATAAAACCAAAGAACACTGCCCACATGAGCACAAGCCATTGCAAACCAAATAAGGATGTTTTACCATCGGTGAACTTTCTGGCGACAAACTTGAGGCATTCGTCCAATAGGATTACAGGGAAGGAGATCTTTAGTACAGCTGCCCACTCAGTTCCGTTGAGAGGGGTGATTTGGAAAATAGTCTGAAATTAGAAATGGGAAAATGTTAATAGATGTAGTAATATGTAACTGTATCAAGATGTTATCTGAAACTTTGTTTGACAATGACCTGAGTTTGGTTTCAAATGTGACTATATTTTTTTTCTTTTTGGGGGATACATGCATTTTCAATGGAGCATTTGAAGTCAAAATTTTCATTCATTTGACATCAACCCCCATTAAACCCATTTCCCTCACAGAATCTACAAGCTCTAGCTCTACAAAATTGCTCCTTAAATAACACTCTTTAAGTAAACAATTCATAAACTCAATATTGAAAGTGTATAAATCTACTCTGCCATTTGCCGCCCCCCCCCTCAGTACCTCCACTTTTCCCCTTTCCTAATTTAAGACTGAACTTCTTACATAAAAGACCTTGGAGTAAAGGATCATAAAATATAGAGACATTGAGAGTAAGATAGCACCCCCTCCCCCCCCAATCGTCCCCCTCTCCTAATTTAAGAGTGAACTACTTACATTAAAGACCTTGGAGTAAAGGATCATAAAATGTAGAGACATTGAGAGTAAGATGGCGAACACTAGCCACTTGTTGCTCCATGGAGGCATGTGGATCAAACTCTGGTTCTCAGACAGACTGAAAAAGGACATGGCATGCGATGTAAAAACACGTCATACGAAATGATAAATAGGGTGTCCCATAATCATTGTGATTGGTGTTGTTACTAAAGGAACTACATATTCAGGTGATGTTTACACAATGAAAGGCACTGTAGTGTGTGTGGATATCATTTAAGTCCCTTTAAGTAATACCACCAGTTACATTAATTAAAGGAAACCTTGAAATATATTTTAAGCATGCTAGTCATTAAAATATTATTGGTGAAAGGAGACATGAGGGCCATTTTTGATGCTTTATACAAATTTTTTGAGCTTTCAAATACAAAAATCGTAAAAAAAACATTTACCGGTAAGTCTTTCTTATATGAAAATTGACATTTTGAATGATAAAAATGAATTTTGTTAAGAAATTCTAATGCTACACATGGATTTTACATACTCTACTAGAATTCAAAATCTATATTAAAATGATCTAGATAATATGTACTTATTTGGTCTTGCAAATCATGCTTCTATCTGAATAACAAGTTGCCCATAAGAAACTGGCTCAAGCGGTCACACCTATTTAATATTTTCTCTCTTAAATATCAATAAACTGTTTTCGCATCTTTGCATGTTCCGTTTTCCAAAGGGAGCCAAGTTGAACAAAGCTGCATTTTTTGTGCATTTCTATCAATTTAAAGTATAGCCTATAAGCCTGTTTACTTTATTCCTTGGTTTTTCAACTTCACTTCAAATTGTGACCGCCATGTTTTTTTCTTATGGGCTAGACACATATACAGTGTTTACTAATACTCAACAAACACACTAGTCTAGTTCGCATAGCAGCTATACTTTGTCATATTAGTGCTAAACAGAAGAACAATGGAAAAAACATGATCTTTGTCTATAAAATAACACTTTTGGCATCTATATTATGAAATGTATTACAACAGACATTTGTAATAAACCCTCCCACCTAGTTTTGGTTCATCAAGCAAGCTATAATATATTGGTGAGATTGTTAGGTCATTGGTTGCACTTTAGCAATAGGTCAAATTTAATCCTATTTTTGATTGGACAAATTGCAACCTACAAACAATGATGTCATCAATCTAGCCAATATATCATAGCTTCTTTAATGTACCAAAAGGTGGCAGTGTTTATTGGAAAGGTCTATTATTTGACAATATCAAAACAAGTTAGTAGTCCATTGAAATTAACGAATAAAATAATTCTTTCCATTGTTCTTAAGTACTGACTTTCTCTGAGAATTTACATGTGCGATCAACATGTACTATAAAGCGATTATATTGTGATTTACTTACTTATTTGTGGGGTTAATATTACCATGTGTTTATAGATGTCACTACTACTCATCAGTCATGCTTGGTCAATTCTGCACCAGTCCATTCATGACTAGCTGAAGAAACTTTCAGCAACAGTTTAGTCATGACAAACTGAGCAAAACATTCAGCGACACTCTACTCATGGCTCTCAAAAACATATAGAAGCAGACGCTTGTAATGTTTACATACATGAAATGACATTGGTTTAAACAAAAACTGCTTCAATCAAATATAACTAATAAATTGTTATTCTAAAAATATCACTAGCTTTGATAACTAAATTTCTAAGCATTTTTAATATGGCAAAATGCTGAATATTGACTTCATAGATGACCTATAATTATGGTCATACTAAGAGGTCTTAAATACAAATGAAACATGTAAGGAGCGCTGTCCAAATTCTACTTAAAAGGACCCCTTCAGGAAGTTCAGGTACTTGAAAAAATGTAAGAAATAAGTAAATAGAGGAGATAAAATTGGAATGGATAAGAACAGTTATTCAAAATATATTATATATGAAAGGTTGAAAAACTATAAAGCTGATCATTGCATTGATTAATATAAGGAAGGGGACTATGGGTGGATTTTTTTCTAAATGTTTTCAAATTTGATTTTATCTGATCTGATTTAAAAAATTTTAATATGGTAAACTATTTATTTCCTAAGAAAGAATTAGTTACAACATGGACTTACAGAAAGTAAGTCTATGGCAATAAGTTCAGATTTAAAGGGAAGTTTTCAATATTAAGAATCTGTTGATGGGGTCTCTATATGTTGATTAATGTTTTCAGGGGGGTCCTTTTTGCCTATTGTATCATGCAGGAAGTTGACACTTAACCTTCTAAAGAGCCTCTCAGAACAAATTCCTGTGAATATTCTGGCACGTAGCTCCCTATGAAAGGTTGAGTGTTACATGCAGCAACCACTCTGCTCACATGGTGATGGTTATGACGTAATCCACATTTCCATAATTAGAACCATAAAATCCAAGAAATGGACAACTAAGTAACATAGATTGTTTTCTATGGATATTGAACATCATAGGATGCTGTTGCTATGGCATTATCATGGTTGCCAAGGACAACAAAACATACTAGTTGTCTTGGCAACAGAGAAATGTGGTCGCCATACCATCCACCATGTGGCGTGTTTAATATATCCGCACACAGTTAGAGAATACAGATATACTAATTATGGAAATGTGCGTTATTTTGAAAATAACCTAAATCGCCAACATCACATACAAATCATGTGACAAGTAACCACCATCATGGCAGAGGTCGCGCCAGGTCACTTCCTGCAAACTTGGACGTTCAGAGCTCCTTACCTATTCATTGCATTCAACATCTCGACCATTACGAGCACGGAGAGAGCCATGGTAGGGGGGTGATTGTCTTCAAACACGTCGCAATCGACACCCTGGTAGGGCAAATCTTGAACCAGGCATTGGGACTGATGAGTCTGTAACACTATACAGTGTTAACCCTCGCTGCCTGTGCCTCATGGCTATAACACGATACAGCTGGGGCTCAGGGCAGCAAGGGTTAACTGGTAACTCCCACGCATAAGTCAAAGAGAACTTCTAGAGAAAATGTAGAGAAATATTAGATATTATTGGAGAATGAATGAAAATGTTGAATATGTATAGACAAAGAGCATGCAAATCATATATGAGGATGGACTATCAGGAGAAAGTACAACTGCCCTTAAAATATAAAGTAAAGAATGCTCAAAATATCAATGTTAACTAAGATCAGGTACAGCCCCCATAAATGTTGAGATATAGCACATAAAAATACACTCTCCTGATAGACCTACCATTTTATAAGGCAGTAATTGGTTACCTGTTCAGAGCGTTAAACATTTCTATAGTAACTAGGGTTGAGAGGGCCATTGTCATTGGATAAGGGCTATCAAATATTTTACAATCCACACCGGGGAACATTCTAGGCTCTGCGGGACACTGCATGGCGTGTGTCTGTTTAAAAACATTAGTAAGAAACCACATCAAATGTTTGTTAGTAAAACATTAATATGCTCATCGTTGCATGGCAAATGTCATGGGCAGAATCCAAAAAATCAAGGCCTGAACCAAAAATTCTTTCAAAATCATGCAGTTTTTCACTATTTTTAATTTGAGCACCTTTCAACTGATCTTAGGTCAAAATTGTCAATTTTTTACCCTCCCTGGAATTTTAAAAAATTGACCCCCCCTTGGCAAAAGCTGGCTACAGGCCTGAGGCTCATGCTATAATAGCGATACTTTGGGCTACACTTATTTAACATTGTCAAAGAAGGGATGTATCAATTTTGGATGCTGCCTGTGATGAGTGCTCAGGTTTGCCAAACATGAGTACTAACACCCATTCTAACATGAATGCTAGCATCTAGAGTGCTACATAATGAATTCTCACAAATGCGATAGAACTAACAACCAGAATGCATCTTCAAGTGATCAAACACTGCGTTATGTGACTGAATGAAAACAAGCAATGTAGAAGGCCAGAAAGTTCAGTCTAAACATAAACAAAGAAATTGATCATTTTGGTACTTTTTAAATTGGACTTTTCGAGTGATATTATCTTATTGCATAGTGAACTACAAAAGCACTATGTTTTAAATGAAGTCTTTTTCATATAAAAAAGCAAAGCATTCTGGCAGAGAGTTTACAGCATTTGTGCAAAAAGTGCATAAAACCACAGAACACAATGTTAGGATGAATACACCAATCCCGACATTCCCTCTCATAGTAAAACCACTTTTTTATCATTCACATAACTTGTGGTGTTTGCATTTGCATTATTGCGTTGCATTTTGATTTTCAAATATTTCAATTTGGTTTCTGAATTTTTCATTTCCCTTTTTGGAAATAAAATTTCGTCTCACTTTTTCCAAAATTGTGTTTGGGAAGTGAGTTATCATCCTAACACTGTAAACACAATAATTAAGACATGTTAGTAAGTTGCAGTTTCTTCACACAGACTACTAGTCTAGTAGGAAGGTATGGTCCCCATGCACCCGAAAGATGTATTTTTTTAATGGACATTTTTGTAATCCTAAAGGTCCATACTAAAGATTTTTGCATGTTCCCAGAATGAAATATTGTCCCATGGTATCCATTGGCGGCCATCTTGTCGGCCATCTTGAATTTTTGAAAGAGTTGATGTTAATCATCTCAAAGTATAATAACTTCCACAGTTTTGAGAATTGAAAGCTGTAAGTGGTACCAAAATGAAGCTATTATAGTACCCTATATTATCAGATGCAATAATTATGCAAATTGTCTCATTTGCATAAAATGTGACGTCATCAATCATAATTCTTGCCTCTTTACAATGGTATTGCATTATACCTTTCTGTCTGAGTGATCAGTCTTAGTCATTCATGAACATTAATGATTTTAAATATATAGGTACATTAATTTTGAACATATTTGCAATCAAAAGTTTTGGAAAAACATTGTCAGACACATGATTATGTTACTGAAAAGGGGCGTGGCACTTCTTGTGAAAGAATTGATGTTAATCATTTCAAAGTACAATAACTTCCACAGTTTTGAGAGTTGAAAGCTGTAAGTGGTACCAAACTGAAGGTATCACAATATCCCACATTATAAGATACAATAATTATGTAAATCACCGTATTTGCATGAAATATGACATCATCAATCATTATTTTTGCCCCTTTTCAACGGTAATACATATTGCATTTCCCTCTGAGTGACCAGTCTTGGTCTCTCATGAATATAAAAGATATTAAATGTATACATTCATTTTGAACATATTTGCAATTGAAAGCTTGAACATATTTGCATTGAAAGTTTTAGAAAAACATTGTCAGAAATCAAGGTATGGCCTTTCAAATGATTATTGTTCTGAAAAGGGGCGTGAAAATCCGTAATGTTATTATATAGTCGATTTATCATCTGTAAAATACCCAGGGGTTCACTGAATACACTATTCTGTAGTTGTCCTAGGCTGAACCCTAAGATATCATTATGTTCCCATAATCATTATGTTCCCATACCAATCTGTCAAATTTCAATGTGTTCACATACCAACCAAAATAATGCCCAAAAGCCATACCAAATATCCAAATATAAGACCAATGCTATACCAAATGTCCAAATATAGGACTAATGCCATACCAAATATCCCAAAAATATAAGACCATTGGAATGCAAAATGTCTAAAGCCCCTGGAAGAAGCAGAACTTTTATGAAAATGAAAACAACCTCAAATTAAGGACATTTGTAAAAACTAGACCAATCCTATACCACAAGTGAGAGGTAACATATTCTCTATGACCATTCTTGTACCACAAAGTAGAAAAATCCGACCATTGTCATACCTCAAAAGTCATAATTAAATGGGGGCATTCTCATTCCAGATCCAAAAATTTGGATCCATTGCCATACCAAATGTTAAAAGAGGAACCCCCTGTCAAGGTTTATATAGAGTGAATCCCTCGGGTGTAAAATATAGCTTTTGACTTTTAGAAAGTAGCCCAGTGATGTTCCTTATTCCTAGCTTGTTCAGAAATTCTTGTTGGTCTGTTTGGCAGACATTTAAATTTCAGCCAAAGATATATAATCTGTATCGCTTTTGGACTAAGTACTATACAGATACGAATTACCACATATCCTCATATCATTTTAGGATAGGCAATGGACTGAAATGGGTACCCACAGTATTTAGTTGTTAAAGCTACATAATTAACTCAATATGTATTAAGCCTCTACCTCAGTTCAATGTTTTATCCAAGACATCCGACTGGACTGTCGGCTGACTTCTTACAGAAACTCAGTGCTGATGTCAAAACACAGAGGTCCAACATCTTCAATGAGCTCATGGTACCTTCAGAAGAGTTGACCGATTAAAATATCTGATCAGCTTAAAAATCCAAGAACTATTTGATGAGGCTAAGACAAGAGGGTGGTATGCAGTTATGCACCCAATAGAAGTGGGATGCAGAGCCCAGCCTCTTCACTATGCTACCTCTTGTCCAAGTTAGAACAACTTCCATCCCAGATGCGAGGACAGTGAGTGGAGGAAACATCTGTAAACACCATTGTGTTGGGCCAAGTAGAAGACAAAAGCTTCTCTTCGGAAGGAGAGATGAAGCCCACAGTGTTCGTGGACGGCTTCAACACTGGCAAGTGAAAAAGATCAGAGAGCTCCAACAGATGCTTCTTAAGAGATTACTTCATCTTAGAGAAAATCTAAAGAGAAGCGTAGGACCAGGAAGACATTCTTTGAAAATCTCTATAGGCTCACATCAAACTTGTTAGGGAACCAAAGAGTGCCCGTATGGCATATACGCAGGATCAAGCAGAAGCAAATACTTTGGCAGCACACAGTGACCCAGATCGAAATATGCCATCGAGTAATTTCCCAATTTACATCTCACCAGATTTATCATCAAAACCGTTTGACCAGTCAGATTTCAAGCTTGATGAGGTAAAAACAATCATCAGGAAGGCATACATGGTGCATAAGAACAGCCATAAGCTGTTAATACATCTATGGTGATTGTTAACAAGCTTCCAGAACAAGAAAAATCTAGCAAGGACTTGGGCTTTGGCGGAAAGCTGCTTCATTCCAAAGAAGCTAAAATTTGAGGGACTGAACCAGTTCAAGTAGACATCATTATCGGATGCTGAGGGAAAGATCTTCTGGGCCATTGTGGTCAAGTATCGCAGTTATTTCCTACTGGCCTGCCAAGCATTCAGAAAAGTGGTATCCTAAGACATCAAGGGTGCATATAACAGCAATAAGCCAACTTGTGAAGGAAGCCAAGAAAGAGAATAAGTAGTTTGGCTGGACCTAAGGTCTACCTAGTGTCCCTCACCAATTCAATTCAATTCAATTTATTGGTAAGAACAAATATGATTTACATAATAAGACATAGTAGGTGACATCATTTTCAGACGTTTATACCCACACATACGAGAACAAAATAAGTGGTACAAAAATCTAATATAAGAATTAAGTCGAACAGTGATAAAAAAATCTTCGTATTTAAATGACACTACTTTAATTTCTAAAGGTGAATGGATGCATAAACTGATATCTCAGATAAAACTAGATCATGTAAATCATAAGACATACAGTCATATTCTAAGTCTGATACTCAATGTTAAAGAACTAATCAATGGTAAAAAGCAAGATCAGTAAATATATACAGAATATAAAATATAAGAATGAATGAACCCAACACAAATCAAGTAACATATTAGGATATATGTATATAATATCCACGATCGAGTGATTATAAAAGCGGTAATATTTCAGAAACGTTACTAGGCTATTTCATTGCCTTAGTTTGTTTAGGTTACATTTTCATCATGGATAGTAACAATTCAATTGTAAAGTCATATCTACATAGATCTGCTATTCACAAGTTGTTGATATATTGCGTGAGGATTTGAATTTATGTCCAACTCTGTACGATGGCAACGACTATCAAACCCTTCAAACGAACAGAAGATTTTCCCATTGAACATCCAACAGTCTTTCACAAAATCCATATTTCTAACAGTTTTCATCAACTTGACATTCTTTCCAGTGGTGTCCTCGTGAATAGCAATACCAGATTTGGCAAGTTTCTTCCTGTTTTTGATCATAGATTGTCTGGAGTCATTGGTGTTGAATTTTACGATCAGTGCCCTCTTTCGACCAGGTACTTTTAGTCCAATTCTATGTGCCACATCAATATCATTATTGGAAATATTTGCCTCTATACGCTGGGCAACTTCGAGAACTAATGCCTTGCAATCTTCATGTTCTGTTTCCTCTACTCCAGTTATTTTAACGTTGCTTTTGCGTGAATATTGTTCATTCTTGTTTGCTTCTGCTTCAAGTTCTGTCAGACGTTTATTTAAACCAATAATTTCATCGTTGGCTTGTATCAGATCAGATTCAAAGGAATCATTGATGTCTTTTAGTTGTCGTATAGATGCTTCAGTCTTAGACAGTC